TCAGCGGAAGGAGTTTCAGCCTTGAACTCAATCAACAACAGACGAGATCTATTGGTTCAACAAAGGTTTCTTATGGTCTTGGCCCATTGACTAAAACTAGGTGAACATACAGTCTTGTACCAATCATAGGGTAGTATGTTGGATCAAACAGTCACACATAAAGGCAAGCAAGTTGAGGGCATAGATACCATGATTTAATCAGGGGTTTATTAGGGATGAACATCTATAACAGGACAGCAATCATAGGTCTAATGACATAGGGGCAAACACATAGATATGTTGTAAGCAGGACAACACATAAGTCTAGTGAATAGAAACAGGCAAGTTGACATGTTGAAAACAGGACCCTCTAGGTTTAAACATATGTGAATAAGAATGTTGATTAAGGCATTAGCATATAGCACATAAGTCTTAGAAATAGGCATACTAATACCAAGGAAACATACTGATTCAAACAACATGAAAATAGACATGCTAGGAACAGGAAAACACACAAGTCTTGGAAACAGACAATGTAGACATATTGAAGGCAGGGAAAAACCACATAGGTCTTAGTTAAGAGAAGGCATACTAACATCAGGGTAACATACTGATTCAATGACAAGAAAGTAGGCATGTTGAGAACAAGAAGCATACCGATTTAGTAACATGCAAGTTATCATGTTGAGCATGAAGTGCATAAACTAAATCATACAAATGTCTGAATAATAATAAAGTGAGGCATACCAGTCAGGAATTTGTAGTAGGAGAGTGAAGTAAATAGGATCCAAGATCTAGCCTTGGCTTTCAGACGGCTAGACAGTGCAATAGCCAAATAGTAGTAAAGAGCAAGAGTTTTTAGAGGTGTTTTTCCTTAGGTCTGTGTGTGTGTGTTTGAACAGAGTCATGTATTTATAGTAGTCGAGTAGTGTAAAGTAAATAAGGCAAGGTGGTTCAACATTGCAAGTAAGGCAAGGAAAATAATCAAACAATCAATCAATCAATCAAGCTTGACACGGCAGAAAATAAGGGAGTTATACCCAAAAATAACTCGGATTGAGTTTCAAATAAGGCAAGAAGTGAGTCTGACAGCCAATTAGGGCCAGAATACCATAAATCAAGCAATTAACCACACAAATAAGGCAACATAAGTAATTAGAGACCAATCTGGGGTCAAACACCCCTAATTTAAGCTTAATAGGCAAGGAATGTCAATGAAGAATCTCGAAATTAAGGAAAGCAGGCAAAATACAGTAAATCATCTCAGCAAAACATGAAACCTTAGACGGTTGAGTCGGTCAATCAACTATCAAAAAATAACGGATAAAATATTGAAGTGAACAAAGAACAATCAAACGACTAAGACTGGAACACAGTCATTAAAGAAAGATTAATCAAACACATAAGGAATTTCAAAAAAGCCTTTTGCAAAAACAGACGAAGTTGAACCCTAATTTTGAAAAATATTTTGAGTCGATTAACAGTAAAGAAACAAGAGATCTTTAAAGAAAAATCACTGACAAACTCAGAATCACTCCAGATCTACAAAGATATGGATAGATTCATGTCTAAAAGATTAGGGTTTTGAGTAAAAATGGTGGGGTAAAGAGAATCTGGTTTTGAACCAAAGATTCGAACCATAAAACTCAAGATAATAGCACTCACAAATGGAGGTGACCATAGGCAGACTCTTAAAGAGTCTCGAACAAGATCTGGGCTTGATCTCTTTGAGATCTCTTTTATGAGATAGCAAAGTCGAACAACCAGAAGAAGTAGGAGACCAATAGAGGTCTAAAACAACCATGGAATCCCGTGGAACATGTAAGAATCGAAGGGATTAGGGTAGGTTTAGGTGGTGGCGATTAAGGTTAGGTTTGGTCTTAGACAGAACCGGAGAAGAGGGGATTCAAGGGCGGCTGGTGTGTGAAGAATGATTAGGGTTAGGGGTCATTTGGAATAGAAAGGAAAGAAAGAATGGTGGTCGTTGATCTCTGTGATCAACGGCCAAGATTAGAGAGATTTGGGGTTGGGTAGAAGTCTTTAGGATTTGGGCTGGGTAAATTTGGGCATGGTTTTTAATTGAATTGGATTGGGGGGTCCGATTTTGGGTATAATTAGGGGCTATTTGTTAAATACCAAATTTACTAAATAAAATAATTTTAAAAATAGCTAATTAAATAATAAAAATAATTTTCATACATGAAGGTGATTTAAAATAATTACTTAATATTATAAAAATATAAAAAGTCATTTTCCGTGTAGATAAGGTAGTTATGCATATATAGGGGCTATTTTTGCAAAATATGCAATTATAGTCTTTAAAAATGCAAATATAATTATAAAAATACAATTAAAATATTTTAACACTCATATGAACATAAACGATGAATTTAGATGATTAAATTATCATAAAATAATATGAGGGATAGTTTTGAACATTTATGTAATTTAAAAATGCAGAAATAAATGGGTTTAGGGTCTTTAAAAATTGTAGAAAAATTGTAAAAACACTTGTGCATGTTTGTAAATGCATGTACAATATTTTGAAAATGCGTATGCATATTTTAAAATATATGAGGGAAAAATTGGGTATCAACAATCGCTCATTATATTGATTTGCTTTATTTTACAGTTAATTTCTAACATTAATTCTCATATTTCTCAGTTCGTGCCAAGTGAAATTACATATCATTAAAACCATTTGTAAATTAAATTGTTATCCAATTTTATGGGTAAACAAAATCTAAATTAGTCTAATCTATAGCTACCAAATTTCGGATGGTTGTACCCCAGAAAAAGGAGAGAACCAATCTATATATTAATATAAAGCAGGGACATGAAGGAGTGATGTGGCACCTCTCATATATGAGGATTGCTATTTATCTTTTTTCAAGTTTATTTATTTTTTTCCCAATTTTTTCCTCTATTAATTAATAAATCCAACTAGCACCTTCTTAACAGTCACCTCTTAATTACACTAACAGTCACATCTATTCCTTCCAAAAATAGTCTAACGGTTGCAACACTAAATAAAAGTAATGGGAAGACATGATCCCTACGTTATAGGAATATTACAACAATGAACAAATGCAAGAGAAAAAAGAAGATTCGAACAAATGCAATACAAAAACGAAAGAAGAAGAGAACGAAAGATAAGAAATAAATTAAATGGATCATGCAATAATTCCTTAAGTCAATTGTCATTTTCTCTAATATTTTATTCCTTCTGTATCTTTCCAGAAAGAATTCTCCTTCTATTTCTTTGAAGTTACAGGTATTGCTCTGCACCTCATGTGAGTTTGCAATAGATTTTCAGTTTTAATTCCTTGTGTAAGGGAAAAAAAGTATACGAATAGAAATTTCTTTTTACTGCAAAAAGTGTTCAACAAGAGGTAGGTAATTAGCTCTCTCCATTTTTAATATGTAATAATAACATTATTTTGGATCATTTTGGTCTTTGGATCTGGAAAGGTGATGAAGCAAGAATAAAAGCACTCCTTCAGTTTGTGTGGTTTATGTATTATGCCTTCTTCCATTTGACGCAAAAATTTGTAAATCAAATGGCCTAGCAAAAACAGAGGACACCTGACACCTCTAATGGAATGCTAAACTCTTCGGCGATCATAGGAGACTCAATGACTCTACTTCCATTGTTCAATTTGAAGTAGTTTAAATTTTGGTACATCAAATTTTTTATGCTCCTTTCTTCTTCTTATACGACTATAAAAAATTCATTTTTATTTCTATTTACTACAATAACTAAGTTTATGTCTGTAGGGTGTTTCAGAGTCTTTGAAATAGTTAAAAGTTTTAAGCTTAGATATTCTTGATACTCCTTCCTTCTTATGTGACTACAAAAAGCTTAGAATCTTCATGCTTGAAATCATTGAAATAATTAAAAGTCTTGAACTTTATAAACTTCATGCTTGAAGGAACATAGCAAAATTGGCAGGTGTAAGCACGCAAAGAAATTTGAAACGCTATGTTTCTTATTATTTCTCTTAATACTATTAAAATAGAAGGAAACAAAACTATTGAAATTTTGTAGAAAATTTTTGCATGAAGAAGGGAGCAAAAGTTTTTTCCTAGAGCAACTGTGTGATTGTGAGAGAAAAGAAGGAAGACACAAATGTAATTTAGGAAATGATAGTAGGAAAAACAGTGAATATTGAAAAAAAAAAAAAAAAGAAAGAAAGAGAACTTAAAAATAAAGGGTAGAGTGGAGTCTTAAGGAATAAAGAGGGAAAGAATGTATTAACCTTCCCGACACACCATATAAATATAAGTGAAAACTTTCCTTTTTTTACTTTTATTGAATATCGAAAATAAAATATGAAGTTCGTGTGAGCTCTAATTCTTACCAAAATTATTTATTTTTGTAAATTGTAATTCATCAATACATAATTGACTTTTTATGGGCGCACACAAACATATATATAGTATACTCGGGTACAGAAATTATCTATTATATCTCAACTAAATCTATAAAAAATTATTTTTAAATATATGGGTGTGATTTATAACCGCGCAAAGCGCGGCAATCTCCCTAGTAATATAATATCACTAAACGATAAGCCTAACGAATTTGTTGTTAATTGCTAACAGAGGAGAGGACCAAGTAGATGGCTTCCTCGCTCGGCTGTTTATTTCAGTCAATTGTACCTTAATTTCAATTTGATAAAACTTTTTCTCATAATTAGGTTATGCTTACACTTGTGACCTTCCTCCTCCTCTGCGTGAACTTGAGACTATGCTTTTGCGAAAACAGAAAGAACATTAACCATAAATTAATTAATGGTTGAAAACATTACTATTTAATTATTTAAACAGGAAAATCCATCATAAGGTACACGTACCCTTTTTCTTGTTAAAATCATTTCCAAACTACTAGCGACAAAATTCATTTGAGATTAACTTAATCCGCCAAAACGCAACAGGGACGCACTCATATATGTCAACCCCTCAACCTGGTCAAGCAAATCAAAACTATCTTCTCAACTACCACACATTTTAAGCAGAAGCACGAAAAAGAGAGATGGCAGTTCAGAAAGGTACAGAGATTTGATCCAAGTCATTCAAAAACACCATTTTCAGTCGAACTTAAACAATATTACAAAAACCCAAATTTTAGAGAATAGAGGTATGTTTTCCAGCTCAGGTGGATGAAAATGATAATGTCCCTCACAGCAAACTCCCAAGCGCAACAAGCTTTCTCTACTTTCATGAACTGAAAGGGACTACTTATAACCATGCCACTCTAGTGCATTGCTGAAAGCAAAGCCAACAATCTCTGCAACAACCTCTATTTATGCACTCGAGAGCCTGGCGGAGCTCCCACTTTTTCCCTATTTAGCCTCATCAGCTACCTTGCTGCCTTCTTCCTTAGGCTCCCCATCTACCTTCTCATCAGCTTTAGCTGAAGGCTTTGTCACTTCTTGCTCTGCAAAAGAGAATTAAATCGAGCTTTTATATACCCTATGACAAGTAGAAAAGGCCACAATAAACCCCAAGGTAGAAGGAAGGGAAATCACACAACATAAGCATCTAAACAATATACACTCCTTCAAATAACAAATAGCCTAAGGTAGTGTATGCAAATAATTTCTTTAGGAAATATCCTGATTAGCATATTTACAACATATATTCCAAATTTATCCGCGACCTTCAACTTTTGGAAGGAGGTAACACTGGGGATCAAGCTTTATCTTGAAACACACCAAAGGAGACATACACTATTATGTACTTCTCAAGTTCTAGAATCTTTCTAATTCTTGATTTCTCATCATACCTGTCTTTGAAGTGTCATCAGATCAACGAAACCTTTAACATCTCATCAAGTACCTTAATCTTGCCAACTAAAGCAATACAATTGTTACTCTTTGTATACCACTTTATGAGGCAGCTCAAGTGAACATGATTTTAAGAAATTAGAACACTTCGAGACCACAGCAATTCATTGACATTAAAAGGTTGCTGAATGGCCATTACAAGATTCTTCTAAAAAAAATCTAACTTGTAGTATCTCATTTATGACAAATGCTGTAGAAACAACCAGAAACGGTTAGTTCAAGATTTGGCTAAGTTCCGCCATTTCCAATAGGTTTGCTCCAATTCTTCCCCACCTGTGCATTCCAGAGGATTGGAAGAGACAAGGAAAACTTTTTATGCAAAAAGGACAAAGAATGGCCAAAAGAAGTCGTGAAAAATATGTTATCACTGATTCCATGAGGATACAAATCCAACAAAACATCAACATAACCAAAAATCAGGTAATCTATACATGCTTCAGAGCTATCAAATTACCTTCATCATCGCTATCATCAAGGTCATCCCCCATATCACCTCCCATTCCACCCATCATTCCAGCCATATCACCTCCCATCCCGCCCATCATGCCACCCATCCCACCCATCATTCCACCCATTCCACCCATCATTCCAGCCATATCACCTCCCATTCCACCCATCATTCCACCCATATCACCGAATTTCTACAAATTAGTCAAGAGAAAGATCAGAAGATATTCCAAAACCAAACATGCAACATATATATAGAGTAACGCATTAAATTTTTACCGAGAAATCCATTGAGTTCATATCCATATCGCCAGGACCTAAAAAATATAGAAAGCAGTAAGTCAGTTTCTGCATGTGTTATAACAAATATGGTAAGAGATCGTCAGAACATGATAGAGATGATACCAGCATCAGCTTCATCATCTTCATCCACCCACTTATCCCAATCTACTTTCACATAGTGTGGTGTTTTCGCATCTCCACGCAATAATTTGTTCCACCATTTTGGCTCTGCTTTTTGCAAAACGCAGACTATACTTCTCACGCCAATACTTATTTTGCTCTCCTTCAGAATGAAATTGCAAGTTAGAATGCAATTCTAAGTACCGGGGATAGACAAGTATAGCAACTAAATCAAAGGCTGGTTAAAATTTGTATCTTCAGTAATTCAGTTCCTCTTCACCACCAGATACGATATTATGATAGCTAAACCACACAAACTGCCATCCCCTTGTCACTATTTTATGATTGCTAAATCACATAATCTGTCATTCTCTTGTTATATCTTATCGTAACTAAATTATAAAATTAGCCTTTCTGATTTATTCAATTAATCTAGTGATTGGGCTTCTATAAGCCTGATTTACAACATTTCTGTCACGCTAGCTCTATCTAACCTGCCCCAATTGGACATATATATGAGTAACTAGAAAATCCAAATCAATCTAATGATGTAACCAAATCAAACAAACGCCTCCTACCTCAACATTAACTTTATCCAGGAGCTCAAGTTTCAGCTCATAGTGACGATCTCCTGCCCCAGCTGTAGCACTGAAGGTAAAAACTCCTTCTGGATCCAGGTTTACTTTCGAATCTTTAGCATCTGGTAATAGCACTGTGAGATACACCACATCAGGTCTCTGGGCCCACTTGACTTGGGGATGGAGGCTGTCAACCAAAAAAACATGAATGGAGGATTTTGTGCACATTAGGAGAGTCATAATATATTCATGTATAGGGGATAACAAAACAAAATTATTCTAAGCAGCCAAAACTTTTTGGCATTACCAAACTCATTTACGTACTAAAATAGGAATCTGTTCTATCATTTTAATGTTAGGATAGAGAAGAAAATATAGTACTCTAACTAGCTACTAAACAAAGGAGACTTGATCACTGAAAACTATTAGACATAGTCTATCTCAGTAAGCGTGTGTATAAGTTTCTCATGAGTCATGACTAGGGGCGAATATAGTGTTATTATGGCTTCATGTGTAGCTTTAGCTCAAACACTATAAGTGAGAATGATGAATCTTCTTCTAGTCACAAGCACGCCCGAGTGAATCAGACTAATTCTAAATCAGCAGGGTATTATTTTATTACTGATACCACTTCGCATCGCTCTTTAATAAAATATTTATTTCTTCACTTTTCTTATGGGAAACAGGTGAAAGAAGGATTAGCTTCTTCTTTTTTTCCCATAAGCAACATTATTTTAAATAAATAAAAAATACTGCTTATGTAAGGAAAAAAATTAAGCATAAACCACAAGAAACAAAGACTTCCATATCTGCAGCTGCCATTACTAGCTTTCCATTCACGAGATATAAGAGTTCCCGGTCCAAACAAATCACCGTTATACATAAATAGATAACAAATTAAAGTAAAAAAGATATTATAATTGTTAAAGCAGCAAAAAGAAGGAGAAAAAAAAAACAAATTTTAGAACCGAAGAAGACATTAAAGTACAGATATGAATCAATAATCTCGTCAACAAATAAGGTAATAAGCTGAGATCTTAAAAAAGTAAACAAAAATGGTAGAACACAGTTGCAATCGCAATGGAAAATGGAGAGATAGATTACCTCATATTTGAATTTTGTGTCTCGACTGAGGCGATGAGAAAGGTAAAAAGAAAGAGAGACTCTAAAAAACCCTAAAAACAAAGTGAAGCGGCACAGCTGCAAATACCACACCTAACTACTTAAGTGGTAGTTCAAGGCGTGAGCTCACTTCCCAAAGTCTTTCAAATGATTCCTCTAAGTTTTAGGGTATGTTTATTTTTCTCGTATTTTATTATCTTGAGCATACATTTTTTCAAAACTAGATGGGATTGGCCCGTGCAAGCACGGCCCAACACTTCGGATTACGGGAAAAGTGCATGGTTGACCACTAATAATACATGTATTTATTTTTAAGCCACCGTTTAAAATGTCTTTAGTCTTTAGTCACTGCTTTAATAAACTTTAACTGCCCGGACAAAAATACCCTTCTGTTCATATCCTTAACTTCGGGACTTCAGGATTACATGTTCTTAACTTTTGAACTTGGAACTCTAAGTTCAGGACTTCAGGACTACATGTCCTTAACTTTTGAACTTGTAACTTTAAGTTCAGGACTACATGTCCTTAACTTTTGAACTTGGAACTCTAAGCTCAGGACTTCAAAGCTACATGTCCTTAACTTTTGAACCTGGAACTCAAACTTCAAGACCAAGTGTCCTTAACTTTTGAACTTGTAAGTCAAAGTTAGGACCTATTGTCCTTAACTTTTGAACTTGTAACTGTAAGTTAAGGACTGCTTGTCCTTAACTTTTGAACGTGTAACTATAAATTAATGACTGTCTGTCCTTAACTTTTGAACTTGGAAATCAAAGTTAAGGACCTATTGTCCTTAACTATTGAACTTGTAACTGTAAGTTAAGGACTGCATGTCCCCAACTTTTGAACTTGTAACTGTAAGTTAAGGACTGCTTGTCCTTAACTTTTGAACGTGTAACTATAAATTAATGACTGTCTGTCCTTAACTTTTGAACTTGGAAATCAAAGTTAAGGACCTATTGTCCTTAACTATTGAACTTGTGTCCTTAACTATTGAACTTAACTTTAGGACTTCAAGACTACATTTCCTTAACTTTTGAACTTGAAACTCTAAGTTCAGGACTATGTCCTTAACTTTTGAATTTAACTTTAGGACTTCCGGAGTACATGTCCTTAACTTCTGGGAAGGAATTGCATTTCCTGTTTACTCATCACTCTTTTTCTTAT